CTATTCTTCATAATAATGTATTTCCTCTTCGCATTCCACCCCTCTGCGCTCTTTCTACTGCACTTTACCTGTTCCCTCTTTTCCTGTTGCTCTTCTAACACCTTCTTTTCCCTCTCTGTTGCCCTCTCACCCCCGCAGCCTACCAGTAAATTCTAAATAAATTCCAATCTGGGAAGCTTGGTCCTTCTTAAATAGAAATGCTATTTTACTATTAAACTAAACTGTAAGGCCTGATGTGCACTAGCCACTCCCAGTGGCACAGCTGTTAGTGTGTATTCCAGGGCTGCTCAGTGCAGAGCTGGTGACTAAGAAGGTTGATTTCTGAAATTAGTGAGCAGCGAACATGGCAGGCCCAAACTCTGGCCCCACTGATTAAGGGGAAAAAAATGTACTACTACTAATAAAAATAGTAACATAGACAATAGCTGCTAGCATTTCTTGGGAGCTTTCTAGATACCACGTCCTAAGCTAACCCACTTTATACCTGTTTTCTCATTCAATTCTCCTCACAAGCCTGGACAGTAGGTTCTGCTATTTTCCCCATTGCACTAATGAGAAACCAAGGCACAGTGAGGGAGGCAGGGCACACGGCAATGAGAGGCTCTCAACAGCTGGGTTTCACTGACGCTTCAACAACTGCACAGCAGTCCTGAACCCTGGGAGTCCAGCCAGAGCTGGCGAATCATACAGAGCACAGGCTTGGCCTGCTTGCTCTGGGTCTAACCAGACAAGTGACTGCAGGACTGCACTGCCAGGGCAGGGCAATCATGGGTGCCTCAGAAGGGGTTCAGCATGGGAGCAGAGAACAGAGTTGAGGTGTATAGCTACTTGCAGTCCAAGTCAGTGAAAACTTACAGTGAGAGGGGATCGTAACCAAATTAGGGCAACAAGATGGATGGTCCATGCGGGCAATCAGAGGGGAGGAGCAGTGTTGGAAGGTCAGGGGTGGAGGTGGTGCATCACAGATGCCCAGTGGCGGCCAGCATGTTCCAAATTACCAGCTGGAGTTTGGAGGGAGGGAGCTCAGTAGATGGGAGAAGCCCTGGCAGATCAGGCCAGGGCCAGGGCTCAGGGACCATATTGAACACTGGGGCTCAGAAACAAGGACCCATCATGAGCCCAGTTACTGGACACCATGTCCAGATGAGCAGAAAGGTAGCTTAACACTGCGGGAAATGTGCTGGAGAGCTTCAGCTGTCACCCAAGAGAGTGGACTTCACCCCACATACCTGTGATCTCACCTAGGAGCTGCTGTGGACACATGTGGTGCCACAAACTGGGGTGGCATCATGTCTTCTTTCTAATGATCTCTCAAAAACACCTTGTGTGTGAATGATCCTTAATATATAAATGTGAGTGGATTCAAGGTTAACCCTGAAAGAATCTCACTTTCACACTGTGACTTGCTTTATCCTGAGCAGGATAATAAGACATACAGATGCAGCTGGCATGTTTGCTTAACCCTGGGGATGCTGTTTGAATGTGCCATGCATGCTGATATCACTTTATATATCACAGTCAAGAAAAGGCAGGAAATTGCCCTCAGAAGCAATGGGGAATTTGATGTGCAGAGGTGGGGCAGAGAAAAATTGTTTTATCAGAAGCCCTTCTCTAATGTTTCAATTTTTTTTTAATGTGTGTGTGTGTGTGTGTGTGTGTGTGCGTGTCTGTGTGTATTATAAACTTGAAAAGAAAACAAGGTATTATGTTTGACTATCAGGTTATCAATCCCATACTAAATTAAAAAGGGAGGAGCATACAGACATTATGCTAACATTGTTGCAGGCAGGAGATCAAGACAATCTAACTGGCAGACACAAGAATTTTAAAAAAGAAAAAGAATAGTAGCCAGGGACCATTTAATGTAGACATAAAGAGGTTCATATACCTCTCAGAAATCATTATAACACAGCAAGTGTTAGACTTTATGGGGCCATTGGCAGTACTGAGACCTCCAGTAAAGATCTGAGTATCCCCCCCACACTCTGCCTGGGGAGGCAGGGAGCCAGGTAATATATTTTAGCATGAATTCTATCAAAGGAGCTAAAATCACAAGTGAAAGAAGGCATCGTTCTTATGTGCCTTTCCTTCCTTGCACTTAACTTTCAATAAATTTTTTTTAGATTTATCTAATTTAACCTGCTAAACTGCATGCCTTTTGAGGGCAGGAACCACTTCGGTTTTGTTCCCCCTTAAGGAAATAACTTTCTCTTTCCTCTAGCCACTTGAGGTATTTAGTTTTCCCAGGGCCTAGCAGCGCTGCCCACCTGGCCCCAGGAGCAGGCCCTGGCCTTCCAGGCGAGAAGGGAAGAGGCCTCTTCTTACTCCCAGAAGAACAGTTTGATGCCTCAGGCCCGTGAGATGAGCCCCATGCAAAGCTGAAGAACTTAATCCACTGCCATCATTCCTCAGCCCCATCTGGCTGCTGGAGTAATTGAAACTAGAAATGTCTCCTTTGATTGCTGCTGGGCAGGAAAGCTTAAATTTTAGTGTTAAACCTCAGTACTGCCTCAAACCTTAAAATTGGTTTTCTTGGGAAATTTGATTTCTGTTCCTTCTGGTTTTCTAGACAAAGGACTAGAAAAAGGCCTGAAGCAGATGCTGCCGTGGGAAGCTCGGTACCCTCAGTTCATCCACAGTACACATGGGTTACAGGCAGGGGGTGGGAGTAGCTAGGCTTACCTGGTAGTAAAGGCCCCTGGGGCCCCTGGCATCGGCCTGGGAGCTCAGACCCACTGGAGGCTTGCAGGTAGCCCAACCCCACAAGAGAGGGGCCCAGGACCCTCTGTTCACTGGGCTGGACCCAGGCCATCGGCACCCCGAGGTCACGGCCTTGGCCCACCTTGGGAGGTGGGGCCTTATCTCCCCCTCCACTCCCTCCCCTCCCCTTCCCTCCTTCTGCCTCCCCACCCGCCTCGCCTCCCCCTGCTCTGCCCCCGGGGCCTCCCCTCTCTCTTTCTCTTCCCCCAGCCTCCTTTCTCCCACCTGACCCCCTTTCCCTTCCTGCTCTCCCTCCAGCTTCAATGAAATAGATCAAATAGCTCTTTCTACACTAAGAAAATCAAAGGTTAGTCTCCACAAAAGGCCCTTCCCAGTTCAGCATGCAAACACTAACTACACACTTCACCCCCTGGGTTAGAAAGAAGGGGCTATTCATGCCCAGAAGACTCTAATTTTTACAGAATCAGAGGGACCTTAAACAAGCTGCCTCCCCCCTGCGGCAGCTTCCCTCTCCCTGCTGACACAGCGGCCTGCTGGTGGCTTCTAAGCCTGTGAGCCCTCCCCGCTTAGAGAGCAGAACTGCAAGGGGACTAAAGACATGTCTACCGGGGCAGGAACTGAAGGAAAGACGCTGATGCTCAAGAACTTGTGGTGCTCATGGGAGAGGCTCGGGTAGAGCCTGCGCCAGGCATCTGCGGCCCTGAGCTGCTCACCGGCCTCCTGCCCTGCGCCCCTCAACCCACCGCAGGCTCTTCAGAGCAGAGGAAGTTCAAATGCCAGGCCCCTCAATTGCTCTGGCCCTTCCAAGGCCCTGGGAAGAGCCCCAGCATTGTGTTCTCATGGTCCTGTGTTTTTGTAAAATTTCTGAAAGGAACATATTTGAACCACAATTGGGTGCTGTTTCTTTGCACTACAGCTTTCCCTCCATCATACTTCTTGCCTAGTCAGATGGCCCTGGAGTGGCCGTGGGCATCTGGGGGATCCGACTCAGGGGAAACTGACTTGGGAGCACACTGAGTTCACATTTAGTGGAATACATTTGTGTGGTCTACAGTCACGTCTGTGCATGAGCAAGTCACTGCTGGCCGTCCCCAGGTAGCAATGGCTTATAACAGTGCCCAAGGCTGACTCAAAGATGAGCATGTCCTGTGGCATCTGGCTTTATAGGTCCGTGGGTGGTGGAGGAAAAACGAACTTGAAATGCGCTGAGCCAGAGGCTAGTCTGTGGCAAATTATTCCAACCATGTGAGGTGTAAAATTAAAAGTGGAAGATTCCATTCTCATTTATGCCCCATCGAAACAGAAATTCAGGAATATATTCAGTGATGCAGCATATGTACTGCTAGTATATTGTGTGCACTGCTTATGGTAATTGCATGAAATGAAATTTACCAGAAATCTTATGTTTGCAAGACATCACTGTAGCAGCACTGCACACAGCAACCGTGTCTGTAAGGAAGCATGCTCTACTGCCTCCCAATCATCAATAATATTGATCAATCTTGCTAAAGGGAAGAATACCTTATCTTCCTAGTCTGTCTTACACAAAATCTTCACATAGAGTATCAAAGTATGCAAGCCAAACTTCCAGAGGAAAAAGTTATTTTAGAAGTGTGTCAGGCAGTTAATTAATTACGAATATTGTGTATTTGATGGATTTGAGATGTCTAGTGCATTTGCCAGACTCAAAAATTTAAAACTGCTTTGTGATTCATTTTCTCTTTCTCAAGAGAGACTTTTGCATACTGCATTTTGTATTTGGACTTTTAAATTAATTTTCTTAAAGACAGCCCCCAAATTATAGAAGCCTCAGGCCCCACAGCTGGATGCTCCCTGTTGGCAGGCTCAGTTTGCATCTGGGCAAAGGACCAGTGTTTTCTGCCTGGGCAGCCTGCTCTCACCTGGGCCCCAGCAGGCCAGAGCAGTTTGGTCAGTGAGCCCTGCAGGAGTAGCCCGTGGCCTTCCCTCCAGGAGCCCTGTTTTCAGGGCTGTGGGTCTTTGTCCCGAGGCCTCCTATCCTGGGGTCTCAGTATCCTGCCCTTGCTGGGAAAGACAGCAGTGGGACCCAGTGCTCAGTCTCACCGGCTGTGCTGAGGCCCAAGTATTCTCATTTTGCCATAAACCTATATGAGCTTCTTTTGATTCAGGGAGAGGTAAGATGGTTCCCTGCCAAGTCTTTCCTCTGGTTTGTATCCTGTTTTGTTCAGGTGATCTGACACATAAAATTGTCTCAACTTATCTGCAGTAAGTCTCTTACCGTTTTTCTGATTCTTTAACAGAGTTGGTGTGGACCTGGATGAAGAGCTGAAAGAAGAGCCCTCTTCACACCAGGCAAGTCAAAGAATCCAATGCAACAGAGTATGGAGATATGAGGTGTTCTGTTCCATGGAATGTTCCATGCTGTGCAGCACGTGCCCAAGGGGCTCTTTCTAAAGGGGGTTGCCTCCACTGATAAGACAAATCAGATGACTATAAAATACGTGGGAATTTCAGGTGTCAATAACCTTTGCACAACCTTTAGAAGGCTTAGAACTAGCATACCTTTGCACCCCCTCTGTGCCACAGAAAGCCTGGAAACTTGGCAACACAGGAGCAAGAGCATGGCTCTTGGAGGAAGGCGGCCTGAAGTGCAAATCCGTGCCCGGGAACTTGCTGCTTAGGTAAACTCAGTGAAATTGACTCAGTGTATATCTCATACATACACATCCCACAGTCCTAACAAAGGGACTTATTTCTCATGCATGGCTTCTTATTAATCAGGTCTGGCACAGACATATTGAAAAATTGAAAATCTGCAGAAGCACAGAAAAACTGTTTAGGTGATCCATCCCTGACTTAGCTGAGCAACCATTATCTGCACAGACCTGAAAATCCTCATAGAAAATTGTTCAGAACAACATGCTATTCTCTCAAGTCAGAGAACTGTAGCCTCCAAACTCTAGACTTGAACCTGGCAACAGAACAGAATCTCCCATTGGCAATTTTGCATTAGCCATTTTTACCTCAGTATTTTAAACAATGGAGTGGACATATTGCACCATTTCCTGAAACTGGAAGTCGATAGACATGGTAAATATTACTATAAACAAGTGATGTTGCCTAATAAATTGCGTTATGGCCACACCTGGATGTGACGATCTCCCTTTTATCTCCTGAGTTTTTCCTTTAATGCCATCAGTGAGGCACCGCTGGATAGTGCTTCTGGGAAAGACGCACAACTTGCCTGGTTGTGGCAAGTTCTTTATGTCAAAGACAGAGAAAGAAGGATCCTGTGCTCCACAAAAAGGGCTAGAAAATTAAGTTGGTGATGATCCTAGCTTGCTTATTGGACTTTGGTTTGTTTTTGTTTTTGTTTTCATGTGTGTCCCAAGGCCAGGCTGGTGGTGCTTTCCCAGACTCCGCCACCCAGGGAGCACACTGAGGGGGGGACTGGGCACAGCAGGGGTGCCAGTGCCCTGGGGCTGGGGCCAGCCTGCTGACGTTAGAAGGTCATCAAGGCCCATCTCCTTACCCTTGTGGGCTATAATGAGTAGTTAGTAAGGTTTGGTGATGGCTGGTTTTTAAAAACATTTTCATCTCATATAGGTCAACTAAATCCATCCTCTTCCTTCAAACAAAATTTTCATCTAAATTTTATCCTCTCTCATATTTTTTTGTTTAAAAGAAAAGAAAATGAGAAATTTCATCAATGAAAATTCCTCATCTCCCTCTAACTGCCTAGTATTTTACAATCACATATAATTATTGGTAAAATTACCTCCTAGCCTAACTCCTTCCATTTTTAAATATATTTACTTTAGCTCATTCACACTGTTGCTAATTCAGTAATAATTCTTACCTGAAGATACTTAAACCAGAAGAAAGTATTTTTTGTTAGAGAAATGAGATAGAACAATGTAGTATGGTGAAAACTACCTGGTATTTGGATCTTGGAATATTTCCCCATCTTTGAGTCTCAGTTTCCCTATCTATAATGTACATATGATAATAATGTCTACTTATCCAGATGGTTATGATGATCAAGTGAAACTGTGTTTATGAAACTACTTATTTTTTTAAGAATTTTAAAATTCAGTAAGAAAAATTATTAAGAGAAGAAAGTCAAACCAAAGGAGTAAAAGGAATGATCAATAAGTACTTCATAAGGTTCTATATACTTGTTATCATGGAACAACAAATAAGCTTTCTGATAGCACAGGGGGGTGCTGCAGTAGAAAATAATCATTAATAATATTCTAAATTATTATCATTAGAGGGAAAATCATACTGTCTCCTTAAGTGGTACAAAACTTCATAGACCACAATGTTTTAAAAGAAATATCTCACTTGGGCTTCCTATAAAGGGCACATAAAGATCTATCTAAATGTTCACTCACTAACCTTATTATAATTTACATGACTTCAACTGAACTGCTACTACTTAAAAATAATTTTATTTCTAAGAAGTGTCCTGGAAGTGTTCTTACAACAATGTTTGACTACCAAGGTAGCTACATTTCAGAAAGAGGTTTTCTCCAAACTTTTGAATAATTCTGATCTTCAGTGCCAAGCACATGAAACAGTGGGCTTGGACCAGAGGTTAACAAACCACTATGTCCACGCAGCGCTACTCAACCTGGACAGAGCGTTTTTGGTACTTTGCAAGCTATGTGTCAAGAACCTCTCTGCCCTCATTTTGTCCGACAGCTCTTTGCCTATTAGCATCTATTGCTCTGTCAGACTACAGAATATAAAGCCTAATTCTTAGGAGAACTGAATGTTGCCACTTGGTTTGCATTCATTAAACTCAGCTTGCATTAACAAATATGATAATTTTTGCAAGTCAACCTCTTAAAAAAAAAGTCTCCATTCTTACTTACCAAGAGTTAAAAATTTCACAGAAAGTTATGGCAATTACTCCCAAAATCAACAATAAACATGTTATGACATGTGCATATTTTCCTCTGTCCCTGTTTATGGACAGTAAGATAAGCTTTGGGAAATATGAACTTGTAGCTGTGACCAACAAGCCGTGTCATGATTTTCCTTTGTAATACCTTTAGATTGTGGATGGTTTTATACTCTTATATAAGATCCAGAAGCTTTAGAAAGCAAGTTCCACATGCAGGTATTAAACTTTAAATACATACCTATGCAAGTACACAACTTTGAGAGATGCAAGACATTGCACTTGTGAATTTTTGTCTCTTAGATGTAAACCACTGCCATCAACACCACCCACCACAGGAAGTTTTCCTTGTAATTGATTCTGTGTCCTTGGAAGCACAGCATTGCAGAGAAGTTAAGAATCACTGGAGCACCACACCCACCTTCATCTTTTAATAGGAAATTCCTGCTACCTTAAAGAGGCTGCCACTATTATTCCTCTCTTTCCCTTTTTGGCATTTTCATGATCATCCTGATAAGTGTTGAGTGCTGACTCCTGTTATTAACAGTGATCTAAGCATCATATGTGTATTAACTTACTTTATTTCCAAAATAGTGGGTTTTCCTGTGAGTGGGTGCTATTGTTATCCCCATATTACAAATCAGGAAAGTGTATATAGAGAAGTTAATAACTTGCCCAAGGACACACAGTGGGAAGAGGTGGAATTTGAACTCATCTGATTCCAGAGCTTTTGCTCTTAAATTGTATGGGTGCATTTATTCATTCATTCATACAACCCACCTTGTCTGGTGCTATTCTAGGTGTGAAGAGGATGCAGCAGTTAACAATTCAAAGTCTTTCCCCTCACAGAGCTTATATTCTAACAGGGGACACTGATAAGAAAAGGTTAATGACTACATAATGTAAATTCAGAGAATGATAGCAATAAGCAGTTAAGAGGGCAGAGAACAATAAAGGAGAGGCTATTAGGTCATTAGGGCAGGACTCTCTGAAGAAATGGTTGACCAGAGGCCTGAATTATGTGCATGTGGAAGCCATGTGGGATCTGGGAGAAAAAGTCCAGGCAGAGGTACTACAAGGAAGGAGGCAATGGAGTCACAGTGGGTTGTGGTATGACCCCTGGCAGCAGAAGGCCAGTGTGACTACACCCGAGTGAGCAAGTTGGGAGCAGATGGAGATGAAGCAGAGAAACAGAGAGGGGCTAGACCAGTGGCTGTGGTGGTGAGTTTGATTTTATTCTACAGGTAATGGAGGTAAAAGCTCTTGACGGTTTGGAGCTCAGAAGTAATGAAATCAACCCTTCATAAAACCTCACTTTTTTCCTATCTCTATTCTGCCAACTGTTACAATAAGGCTAATTTTCATCTTTTCTAACATGATTCAATTTTTTAACACTATACTTTCTTCTCTGTATGCTCTTTAATGCTAACTTTCGATTTTCTTTTTGCTTTCAATATGCCTTTCCTTCATTAGAATTCTGATTTTGGTCATCATTTATGTTTGTGTGTAACCTGGATTGGTTCTGGTCTCTGCAGCTCAAGAAAGTCAGAGCAGAGCTGAGAAACTTCCAGAGAAAGGCAACTCCAATAACTGAGCAGAAGGAGATTAAAAGGACTCAGGATTTCTCCAGCAGAAAGACTTGCTTTAATTTAGAAAGGGATACAACAAAGTGACTATAAAAATATGAAGGGTGTGCGTAAGGTGAACAAAGACTTGTTTGCCCGTTCCCAGAAAACCATAACCTGGAATACCCTTGAAACCTGAAAGAGCTCATTTGGGGAGAATAAGAGTGTTCTCCTGCACAATTGGAACTTATTACTCACAGTCATCTAGAGTTGCAAGGCTGGAAACCTAAGTAGGTTCAGGAGGAGAAGAGATTAATTAGCAGATGGTAGGGTCATCTTGTCATTAAATAAAATTTTCTTTTTGCTTGTGAATATTTTCAAATACACTAATAAACTTAGCGAAAATGGAATAAATATTCCCATATATATATATATATATATCCCCTAGATTGAACTATTATCAACCTTTTTCCACATTTGCCCCTTTCTCTTTGAGTTGGCCTCATAAAACGTAGACCCCACACTACACCCCCACAAACAGTTTAGAAATAGGACACCAGGCTCTAAAACTGATCTGGTCTAGATGAGGGCTTTTGATGTGACATCATAAATAATAGTATTTTGAAAAAAATAAAATGAGTATTTCAGAGAAAATATCTTGAATTTTTCTTGGTTAACAATGATTTTATTTTGATTATACTTACCTATGGCTATACATCTAAAAGTATAATTCCCCAGTAATTTTTTACTGCTTAGGACCAAATTATGTATATTTTATCTTACTTATAAATTCTGCAATTAGATGTTCTAGAAATTAGGAATAATAATGAGGAAGAGGAAGGGGGGTGAAGATGGCAGCTACAATTTGGTAAGCACTT